CAACAGTTGTGTTGATTTGCTCTGCTGAAGTCCCAAAAGCGGCTCTCTGATACGATTTTGGATCGTCAAGACGCAGCAGTCAGGTTGATACGTGGCGTCGAATCCCCGTAACAATATTTTGGCACGCCTCAGGATTTTCAAATTATTGTCTCCCAACGGAACAAGTCCCTCAATGAAAATGAACCGTTGTAGGGGTCTATGAAGAGGGAGCTTGGAGGGAGGGTCAATTCCAACATCGTTGATGACTCTTGGGTTTCCACTGGTCCTCCTCCTCCTCCTCCTCCTCCTCCTCCTCCTCCTCCTCCTCCTCCTCCTCCTCCCTCCTCCCTCCCTCCGCCCTCCCCCCCCCGCCAAGAAGCCTCCCCCCCCTCCCCCTCTGATCTACCCTCTGTGCGCGCCGCCCGCAAGCGGCTACACCCAGGGGGGGTGGGGGGGGGGACGGACACGCCGCCCGCGGCTGCCCCGGCGGCTCCACAGTGGCCGCGCGGAGTTTTGAGGGGTATGCTCCTACTCCTCCTCCTCCTCCTCCGCATCTTCCTTAACTTCCCCCTCCTCCTCCTCCTCCTCCTCCTCCTTAGCCGCGCGGAGTTATGAGGGATATGCTTAAGTCGGGCCTGTCCATCCACAGGGGGGATATTCAAAAATAGTCAATACAGAAAGTCCAGGGCCTATTTCTGGAGCATGTTTTGAATATGTTTGGCATTTTGTTATTTTGTTCGTCCAAAATCTCCCTGTATGGCGACAGGCCCGACCTAAGGGTATGCAGAGAAGCCTCGAGATTCGACTCGGAGGAGCGAGGAGTGCACGCCGGCCGGTGAATGGCCGACAATGGCAGGGCGGCGGTTCGGAGTCCTGGAACTCACAGAGAGCACCGCGACCCAGGCACATCATAACATGGATCTCGTCATGTCATGTCGTGTTTCTTTGGCAGCGTGGCCCTGCGGAGGCCGGTCCCCTCGCCCTGGGGCAGTGGCCTCCCATCCTGAGCCTCATGATGTTCCAACCTACTGTAGCCTTGATCGCCAGAAAGAACTTCGAGCACCAAGGAGAAGGTACCGAGATCTGAGGGTTTTCACGTGCCGGGCCCTGGGAGGCGATACTCGTTCGACGCTGTTTTGATACTTTTCTGGGTGCTCGAAATTATTTCTGGGGTGTGGCCCCTAAGCACAATGGGAGCAGCGTGTCAGGAGGGGGAAACGCACACAGGCACAGTTAATCGTCGATTCCCAGGAGCATACTGAAACATATGGGAAGTGGGGGGGGAAGACGAAGACCAAAACAGATAGGAAACTATGGGGAATACTGGGGTTTGTGTGTATGTGTGTGTGTATTTAGGTGTGTGTGTGTGTGTATTTAGGTGTGTGTGCGTATGTCCCTTGACCCCCTGCGCTCTCCGCGTCGTTTCGCGCGGGGGGCCGGGGGCGGGTTCCCCCTCCGGCTGGTGGCCCTTTTTTTTTTCCGTGTGCTCCAGCGGCCTCCCCTCCCCCCTTCCTCTCCTCTCCTTTCCTTTCTCTCCTCCTCCTCCCCTCCTCTCCCTCTCCTCTTCCTCTCTCCTCCCCTTTTCTCTTTTCCCCTCTCCCCCTCCTCTCCTTTTCTCCTCCTCCTCTCCTCCTCCGCCTCTCCTCCTCTCCTCTCTCTCCCTCTCTCTCCTCTCTCCTTCCTCTCATCCTCCTTTCCTCCCTCCTCCTCCTCTCCTCCTTCTCCCTCCTCCTTCTTCCTCCCCTCTCTCCCTCCTCTTTCTCTTTCCTCTCTCCTCTCTCCTCCTCCTCTTCCCTCTCTCCTCCTCCTCTCCTCCCTTCTCCTCCTCCTCCCCTTCCCCACCTCTCCTCTCTCCTCCTCCTCCTCTCCTCCTCCCTCTCCTTCCTCCCCTCCCTCCCCTCCCCCTCTCCTTCTCTCCCTCTACTCCTCTCCTCCTCTCCTCTCCTTTCCCCTCTCCTCCTCCTCCTCTCCTCCTCCTTCCTCCTCCTTCCCTCCTTCCTCCTCCTCTCCTCTCTCCCTTCTCCTCCTCCTCCCCTCTCCTCCTCCCCTCCTCTCCTCTCTCCTCCCTCCTCCTCCCTCTCCTCCCTCCCCTTTTACTCATCCTCCTCCTCTTCCCTCCTCCTCCTCCTCCCCTCTCCTCCCCTCCTCCTCCTCCTCTCTCTTCTTTTTTTTTCCCCTTTCATCCTCCTCCTCCTCCTCTCCCCTCCCCCCCTACCACTCCTCCTTCTCCTCCTCCTCTTCCTCTCCTCCTCATCCTCTTCGTAACCGCCCCCCCCCCCTCCCTTTCTTCTTCCTCATACTCCTCCTTCTTCCTCATCCTCCGCCCTCCTCCTCCTCCTCCTCCTCCTCCTCCTCCTCCTCCTCATCCTCATCCTCATCATCATCATCATCCTCCTCCTCTTCCTTAACATCCCCCCTCCCTCTCCTTCCCCTCCCTGTGGATTCGGGGTGGCCCCGCGTTGTGGGGCTTGGGTCGTTCTCGGAGGATGTCTCGGGCGACTGGGGCCGTCGGCGCTCGGCGACTGCACTGGGTGTGGTTGCGCTGGGGTGTGGCCTGCGATTGGCGTCGTCGGGGCTTATAGGGGGTCACCACGTTGCGCCAAATGTTTGATGAGCCCTCGTCGGGGCGCGGCGGAGACCTCTGTCGAGGTCCTCGCCCGCCCCCCCCCCAAGGCGTGGGCGGCGACCCGCACCGTTTGCAGACCAAACCTCTTGGGGTCGCCAAAGGGTCCCGAAGCCGTGCAGTGGCGGACCGTGTGCGAGGAGGCATGTTGGGCACTCCGCGGTCACCGCACGGTCTGCCGTCTCACCGCCGTGGGCTCGCCCAGGCCGAGAGCGGCCGAGCGCTTCCCAACGTGCTATCGTTCCACGGTGCCTCCCAACGTGCTATCGTTCCACGGCGCCGCCTCCTCCTCCTCCTCCTCCTCCTCCTCCTCCTCCTCCTCCTCCTCCTCCTCCTCCTCCTCCTCCTCCTCCCCCTTTCCCTCCCCCTCCCCCTCCCCCTCCCCCCCCTCCCCTCCCTCGCCCTCCCGCCCGGGCCCGCGCCAATCCAGGGGCAACGCTGCAGGGGGGGCTGGGCGCAGGGGCGAACGCGCGAACCCTCAATCGCCCACGCATCTCCGGCAGGGGGCCCGATGGCCCACCCCGCCCGGGATCCTGCGTGTCCGCTGTCCGTGGCCTGTCGCCGAGGCGTCGGCGGTGCATCGCCGAGGCCACCTCTCTGCTTTCACCCGTGAGCCACTCCCCCCCTGGTGCTCCCCCTCATTCGGGGTATGCCTTGATGCCGAGTTGCATTGGCTTGGCTTTCTCAAGCTGTGCCCTCTTTCTTTGCGTGAGTGATTGTGCCTCTCACCTTTTCCTGCTGCTCCCATCCGTCCATCGTCCCGACTCGGCGCGTCGCTTCATGTGCTCGCTGCTCCAGCCAGGGTTGGACCTAAACGGTGTTTTGGCGATTTCGTGGGCCGTTTTCGTTTCGATATCGTGTTCGTTTCGATGTCGCTTTGCGTAAAGGGCGGATTGAAGACAAGTCGAGTGAAAACGAAAGCAAAACAAACACGACAACACCGTTTAGGTTCAGCCCTGCCTCAAACCTTCTTCTGTGCGAGGTGTGGCAACCACACCATTTCTATTTTCAGAAGGCTGCTGGAAGAGTGAGTGGAAAGCGACACGATGTTTGCAAGCGTCTGTTGGCGGGTCTTCATCTTGTGAATGGCTCGCCCTTGGGCCAGAAGTAGGCAATTTCAGGCCCTCCAGCAGCAGCAGAGTGGGGCCTCCAGCTATAGAGACAGACGGCTATTGGCATCGCCGACCCAGCTGGGCGTTCCTCCTCTTCCTGTGCTATTTTGCCCACGGCGCGGGGATGTCAGCGGGCATCGAACAGCGATCATCGAGCCTCGATGCTAGGATACAACTCTTTGTGAGGTTGGAATCATAATCAGCGCTGTGTTGTTCGTGTCGAAGGCCTGCCTAACCCACTTAGTTCCGCTGAGTCCCGCTAAATCCCGCTGATTCCGCGGGCTGGATCTGGGCTGATCTGGCTTCATGTCCCTTTGTCGGGCTCAATTGTTTTTGATCGTTATGTCGAAGATTCCCCAGAAGTTCCCTTCTGAGTCTCGAACCGCTCTGGGGGAACTGACCCGTGTTGCACTTACCCGGGCCAGTGAGTCCCCGAAGGTCCAAGAAAGATTTGGGACATCCGCGCGGAGCTCGGAAAGCTTACGTTTGCACGCCGAGGAGGAGGAGGAGGACGAGGATCGGGATCGGGATCGGGCTCGTGGAGTTCGCGTGTCAACTCGACCGAGGCGTGTGAAACCCTGTATCGTGCTACGCATAGAACTCTGAGTGGCGTGACTTTGTGAGACGTCGACCTTCTGTGGCGACCCCTGCGCTCGGGCAGGGCCGCACTGCCCCATTAGGGGCAACCCCCCCTCGGAGCACCCAGCCGTGGGGGCGCCCCCTGGGGACCGATGAATTACACCTAGCCTCGGGCTTCCCCTCATAAAGGCGAGAAGCCCGTAGCCCCACCACCCCGCTCCCGCAACCCAACAGTACAGAGCCACAAGGGCCAGAAGCCGCACTGCTAGGTCGGTGGGAGGGGAGCAGCAGAATTACGTACCTCAGGGGGGGCCCGAGAGACGTATACACAGGACGGGGACCGCTGTAAAAAACCCCACGAGAGAAAATTATTTTCCCTGGGAATGCCCACGGCCTCCTCCTCTCCTTCCACCTCCTCCTCGTCCGCGTCCCCTGGGCGTCGGCCTTAAAAGAACCGTGGGGACGGGCGGAAGAGAGGGGCCGTAGGCCGTAGGGAATGGGAGAGGGGTGGGCGCAGTCCTATCTCGTAGCACATCGGGCGGTACGCGTCCTCGCGCGATCAGAGGAGGAGGAGGAGGAGGAGGAGGAGGAGGAGGAGGAGGAGGAGGAGGAGGAGGGGGAGCAGAGGAAAGTGACGGTGGCAGCCTTCTCTCTTCTCTCCAGAGCGGTCCCGGAGCGCCTCCAAGCCCGGGCGCGCCCCCCCCCAGGCGACGGCGGAGCCCCAGGTCGCGGCGGAGGACTGGGAGGGGGGCGCACAGTAAGTAGCATCGGCACGGCGTCGCTGCTGTGGCCCATGGGCGTGCTCCTCTCGGCGGCAGCGAGGGGGGAAGCGAGAAGGGTGGAAGGAGAAGAAGCCACACAAACATGTGTTTAACAATTTTGGCGCATGTTTTTAGTATGTTCTATGTTTCGTCGAAAATCCCCTCGTAGGGGTCGAAGGATCGAAGGATCGACGGAGAAGAAGCCACGCAAACATAGGCTTTTGGCGCTCCGCGCGGGTTCCTTGCATCCGCGCCCGGGCCCCCCGGCGGCGGCCCCCTTTGCGCCGCTCCTGGCGCGCTCTTCGCGCGCCAGGGCGGGGGGGTCCAGCGCGAGTCCAAGATATATCCGCGCGGAGCGCGAAAAGTTTATGTTTGTTTTTTTTCACGAAAGGAGGAGAGGATGCCTTCTCGGCGGAAGGCTCGGAGGTCCCCTGCATCCTGAGAAGTGTTCTGCACCCTCCACGCATACGCATCAGAAGCTTCTCAGAAGGCGCGAGGGCTTCTGAGAAGCCTGGCCGCCTTCTGAGAAGGCCTTCTCCTCCTCACTTCTCCCCCTCGCTCGCTGCCGATTCCAGGCCTGCCTCAGACTTTGGGGAAAGTGCAAGGTACCGATACCGCTACTCCCCGGACCTCTCCCGGGGTGCGTTCTGACCAGGATTTCGAGGCGAATCCAGCCATGCCGACGAGGGCCTCCCAGGAGACACAAGAAAGGGAAAACGGGGGAAGGGTAGCAGCATGGATACCTTTTTAACAGCAGCATGCTGATCTTCAACAGCAGCATGCCGACGGGTTCCCCACAGCAGCGTGTCATTGACATTGTTGTTCGGAGGCGGATCGACCTCCTACCCTGACACGTCGATTCAGCAATTGGCCGTTTTCGGTTCGCGAGAGGGCGTCGCGGCCGTCATTTTTGTGGGTCCAGGTCCGTCGGTTTCGGTCCCAAGCCGTTTTAAGAGGAGGTTTATGAAAAGGAGGTTTGTCCCCCGCCGAGTTTTTTTTATCCCCGAGAGGACGCGGGCCCCGCCGACGCCGTGCTCGTCCGGCTGGCGTCCGAGCAGCAGAGCTTCCGGGGCTCGCGGCGGGCCTCCCCGTGGGGGGAGTGCTGGCCCGGGCTGCCGTCGGCGCATGCGTTGGCGCCGCAGGACACCGACGGGGGGGTGTGTGGCTGGACTCGGGGGCGGAAAAAAAGGGGGTGATGACTAGGGAGGGGTGGATATCATGGCGGGGGCCATGATATTTCCTCAGATTTCATGGCGCCTCTTCTTATTTCATTTACGTCCCTGGCCCCCCCGCTGGGCCGCGCACATGCCGCCGGTCATGATTTGCACCACCCCCTCTTGGACACCCCCCTCTTGGCCGCTCCCGATGGACCTAAACGTTGCTTTTCAGGAGCGAGAGAAGGACGTACACGTACATGAATCCACGTTGGTTTCGAGAGTCTGCATTGCGCGAATGTTCGTATCACGCGGACGGTCTCGCGGATCGATGGGGCCGTGTTCATGTACATGGTTGGGCGCGTGGGTCAGTTGTGGGTTCCCTAGTTTTCGGCTGCGTTTTGCTTAGAGCAGAACGAAAAACATGACGAGAGCGTAACGAAACACAACGTTTAGGTCAAGCCCTGCCGCCAGGGGGAGGGCACCCACAGGAGAAAAATATACCGATACCGCTGCCCTTCTCTCGTTTTCGCCTTGTTGGGCCTCCTGGGACGCCCTCGTCGCCACGGCTAGATTCGCGTCGAAATCCTGGTCGGAACGCAGCCCGGGAGAGGTCCGGGGAGTAGCGGCATCGGTACCAGTTTGTTTCTCCAGATTCGGCCTCGCGCTGCGAAGGAGTCATGGCGCCCAGCCCCTCCTCAGCCGAAAATAGCATCCGACCGAAAAACACCAGCAGCAGTCTTCTGGGGCCACGCCGTCGAGAAGTCGTGGCGGCGGATGCCTGGAGGGGGCCTGCTCGAGGAACGAGCCTCGGCGCCATGCGTCGGAGTGCCGCGCGGATTCCCTGGGTCGGCACCTGCGCGGTGTCGTCCCCTGGCGCGCTCCCTGCGCGCGGGGGAGGCAAGGGCTCCCTCGAGGGCGCGAAGTTATTCGCGCTTCGCGGTCCTCGTTCCTTCTCCCCTTCCTCCTCGTCCTCCTTTTCTCCCTTTGGGGGGGCGGCGCGAGGGCGCGAAGTTATTCGCGCTTCACGCTTCGCGCAGCGCGAAGCGCGAACTTAGGATCCCTTGGGGAGGGGGGGCCTACCGCCGTCCGGGAGAAAAAGAAACGCGGTGGCTTTCTCGGAAGGTTGTGCCCGTGTTCTTCGTTTGTTCCTCCACAGCATGTGATGTTGGGCCGTTTTCGTTTCGATGTCGTGGGCCGTTTTGGCGATTTCGTGGGCCGTTTTCGTTTCGGTACCGTTTTGCGTTCAACGGCGGATCGAAGACAAAAAACGAGGGAGAACGACAGCAAACCGAAAACAAAAAGCACCGTTCAGGTTCAGCTCTGGTTTGGCCGCTTTCGGCTTCCCTGGGGGGCCTCACAGCCAAGGGGCTGTCGATCGACTACCCAGGAAGAAGGACTGGCCCTGCGGAAAGGGTCGGGACCTCCTCCGAGCCCCGAGTCATCAGGGCCGGGGGCGGTCAGGGACAGCCACAGATGTGCTAAAACAGAGCTAGGATCGGGATAAATCGCTCCAGAGCGTTCCGGAGCGCTCTCAGTGCGTTCCGGAACGCTCTGCAGCGGCCGCGGCGCCCAATACATCCTCCAAACCCGCCGATTCTCAGAGATTTCGAGTTATCCCGATCCGATTTTGTCCCGATCTTCGCGTCGTTTTATGTGCTCCCCGGGGGCCCAAAACTGGAGTTCCCCGAGACCGCAGCTGCCGCGGACACTTCGGGCGCCCAGCTCCCGCGAACCCCGTGGAGATCGCTGCAGGAAGGCCAAAAATGGGGACGGAGCAAGACGGGGACGAGGACCGACGGGATTCGCGCCCGTGCCGCCGCGCTCGCCGTCCACTCGGCGGGACTAGCGTCGCCTGTCCCACGGCGGCCGCTGTCGGCTTTGGACACCGTCTCCGGTTGCGCCCCTTCTCTCTCGGGGTTCCGCGATCGAGCCGCCTCAAGGATCGGGGTTTGGTGCGCTCTCCGCGCCACTGGGGAGGTCGTCCTCTGCTGTGCACTCGTGACATGGGGGCTTCTGCGGGGTCGCGGGACTCGGCTCGGCTGGCCTGTTCGCTCCTCGTGGGTGCAGTTGGATTCGGTTCGCGCGCAGGCGTCCCACGAGAGGCAAATATCAATGTTGCCAGACACTGGAGATGCCGCCTTGGAGCTTGAGGCAAAACATGTCCTTCCCAGTTACATCCCCCAGACACGGCGTAGCGAGCAAGCAGAGTTTCTCGTCGCCACGGCTCTGGTCAAGACGCACCCCTCATGGCGCCCAGCCATCCCCTATCAGCCGAAGAGGTATGTGACCAAGCAAAAAAAGGTAACCGAAACGTGGACGAACTTGTGACCGAAAACATGGTGTGTGTGTGTGTGAGAGACTGACATTGGAAATCGCTTTGGTTCCTGTCGAACCCAGAATTTGGGTCGCCCTCTGTCGCGTTTGGGAGCATCCGGGCGCTGGTTTCGATCACACTCGGGAAGATTTTCGTTTCGGCCATCACAGCCCCCTGATAGAGACGAGGGCGCGTGACATGTCCAGTTAGGTGCGAGGTCACCGTTTTTGCGACCAGGGGCCTTCCCTGGGCTTCCCCCCCGGACCTTCCCTGGGCTTTCCCCAGACCTGGGAGGTCGAAGACACGTAAGATCAGAAGCAGTGTTAGGAGGGGGATGGGTTCAGGTCGGCGACTACAAAGGGTGTGGTTACGCCGGGGTGTGGTTTGCGATCGGCGCCGTTGGGGCCTGGGGGCACGACGCTGTCCTCGTCAGGCCTCCTCGGGGCGCGGCGGAGAACTCGATCGAGGTCACCGCCCGCCCCCCAGGGTGTCCCCCAGGGTGCCAGTTGTAAACCACACCTTTTGCAAACCACGCCCTTTTGCTCCTCCTCGTCCTCCTCCTCCTCCCTCCTCCTCCTCCTCCTCCTCCTCCTCCTCCTCCTCCTCTTCCTTCTCCTCCTCCTCGTCTTCCTCCTCCTCCATCTCCTCCTCCTCCTCCTCCTCCTCCTCCTCCTCCTCCTCCTTCCCCACCTCCTCCTCCTCCTCCTGCTCCGCCTCCAGCGTCCTCGTCCTCCCTCCTCCTCCTCCTCCTCCTCCTCTCCCTCCTCACCTCCTCCTCTCCTCCTCCTCCTCTCCTCGTCTCCTCCCTCCTCCTCCTCCTCCTCCTCCTCCTCCTCTTCCTTCTCCTCCTCCTCATCCTCCTACTCCTCCTCCTCCTGCTCCTTTTCCTACCCCACCTCCCCCGACCCTCCTCCTCCTCGCCTGCGCCTCCATCGTTCTAGTCTTCTTCCCCCGTCAAAGGTCGGAAGCTGGAGCAAAATTAACCCATCCAGTGTCATGGCGCCAACATCGCAGAGCGGATTTCGTACGGAAAACGACAGGATGGGCCTGGAGTGTCCTGGAGAATCTCGTTTCGGATTTCGAGGTGAACTTCGTGCGTTTTTGTCCAGGAATGAAGACTAGAAACATCAACGCGAAATTAATGTCATTGTTCACATGCCGTTTCGGGGTTCTGCGTTGACAGAAATCCACGCAAACATCCGCTGCAGCACGTCTGCAAGGTCGGGGCACTGACCAGTGGCGGGCTGTGCTTCAGTCCCAGGATTTGTTGTTGAGGGTCGGGGGCGACGCCGGGGCGGTGCGGTGTGTGTATATATATATATACACATATATATAAACACTTTTTTATGTTTGTCCGTTTCCCAGGAACCAGCGACATGTGTATAATTACACCCGGATCCCGTATGTACACCAGGATCCCCTGTCCTGTGCATGCTTCAGTGCGCAGGCCGTCAAACGCGTCGGTGCGTGTAGAGCTCGGCCCCCCACTACAGGAGCCTCCTCTCCCTCGGATGCAACTCCTGGGAGGTCAAATTCTGATTTCGCCCTGGTCCGAGATCCAGCTTAGTGTGGCTGATTCTCTCTTAGTCCCGCTGAATCCGGCTTCATCCCGCCCAATCCGGTTTAGTCCCGCTTAATGCGAGGCCCAATTTGGCGCAACAGCGCCCCGTTGGTGGAGACCTCCCAGTAGTTGCCTCCTAACTCTCCTCCCCTCCTCGACTAAGCCATGGCGCAACATGAGCCTGTCACGCCGCCGGGCCCGTCCAACGGGCCTCAAACGAACCAGTCGACCCCCACGCCGACGAGGTCCGCGATGTGCGAAGCGGGGGGGAAGGGGCAGGCGGCGCCCTCCCTCCACGGGAGGGCGCAGCATCGCCGACCCTTCCACTGCCCCCCCCGCCCCGCGCCGGCGCCGGGGGCCGCACCGCCTCCACGAGCCAGGCTCGGAGTCGGTGGAGCGGCCAGGTGGCGTAGTGCGGCTGAACGTCAGCCACGCGCGCCCCCAGGCGTGCGGACCCACGCCGAGATGAGCGCGGCCCGCTCCGCCGACTCGCCCAGCACGGGCTCCACGCTGTCGGCGGCAGCGACAGCCGCGGGTGGCGCCACCAGCAGCGCCAAGGCCGACCCCTCGGGCGCCGCGTCACCACCCGCCGCCGCCGCACCAGCAGCAGCAGCAGCAGCAACATCCGCCGACGGGGTCGCTCCGCCAGCCGTCGGCGCCGCCGCAGCGGCCGCATCAGCTGGCTGCGCGGCCGCGATCGCCGCTGGGCCGCCGAGCCGACGCGAAACCCGAGGAGGGAGAACGTCAGCCCAGGCGTCGTCCAGCACGTCATCGCCGTCGACCTACATGAGGGGCTCGGCCACGGCCGCAGCGGCAGGGGCCGCAGGCACGGCGCCAGCCGCGCGCCGCGCGGCACGGCGACGGCGGCGGCGCCCGCGCCGCTCGGCACGAGCCGCGGGCGCGGGCACCTCGCCACCGCCAGGAGGTCCGTCACCACGTCCACCATCGCGACCAGCGCCACCAGCATCACCAGGCACCGCGCCCAGTGCAGCGGCCGCCACGGCCGCACGGGCGACGGCGGCCAGGGAGCGCGGCGGCGCCCTGGCGAGGGCAGCCGCGCGGACCGCCGCCTCGGCGAGGACGGCGGCCTCGCGCACACCGAGCCCCATCCCACGTGCGCGGTGCGCGCAAGCACTTCGAGCAAATGGGTACGGATGCCCAAACCCTCCGAGATCCCCGAGGGGGGACGTGGGGCTTGAGCCAAAATGGCTACGGAACTCTCCTCCTCTCCTCCTCCTCCTCCCTCTCCTCCTCCTCCTCCTCCTCCTCCTCCTCCTCCTCCTCCTCCTCCTCCTCCTCCTCCTCCTCCCTCCTCCTCCATCTCCTCCATCTCCCTCCTCCTCCTCCTCCTCCTCCTCCTCCTCCTCCTCCTCCTGTTCCTCCTCCTCCTCCTCCCCAGACGTCCGACGTCGTGATATTTCGACAGCATGTTCGCCTCTCTCCCCCCCCCGGGTTCTGGACCCGTGCGCAGAGACTGGCCTCTCATCCAGGCCCCCAAGAGGCACGCAAGAGGCCTCGAGGGGCTTCAAGGGGTAAGTGAGACCTGTCCCTCTACAGGCGGAATATCCAAAAATAGTCAAAATAGTCTTGGGACGTCATATATATATATATACATACATATTGCTGGTTATATAAAGAATGTGAAAAAACGGAAAAAAAACAGAATGTGTGTCTAGCATTTGGGGAGTCCGCCCAGAATCCCCCCGTACGGAGAAAGGCCCGACCCAACTCGAGAGGGGGGCGTGGCCCTCGGGCCCGGAGGCCGAAGGCTGCCGGAAGCAGTGCTTCGCGATCACGTCTCCGCTGCCAGAGGATGCCAGAGCCCCTCCCTGCTCTTCCCGGGCCGGGCGAAAGGGGGGGATTGGGAAAGGGGGGGCCACGAAATTCGCTGCCTGCAGCTGGTTTCGGCCTCGCCGAGGGGCCCATTCCTCGATGCATGGCCGCCTCCGGCGCCGGGAGGCGCGGGAAAATCAGCCACGTGAGCTGATTCTCAATCCCCCCCCTTTGCTATACCCCCCTTTCGCACGCCCCGAGAGTAGGGGATCGAGGGCACAAATGACTTGTAAAGCGTCGGATTGCCGTCGATCTACGAGCATTTTACGTAGGACTCGAGGAAATCAATTTGGGGGAAACCAGTGCTGTAGTCGATCCCCTACTCGAGTACTGGAGTGGCCGCTCGGGTGCAGATGCGCGTGCCTGGCAACCCCTGAGAGCGCGGGATAGCGGCTCCTGCGCGTGCCTGGCATCCCCTGAGGGTTTTCGCCACAACGCCTAGTTTGCCTGTGCTCCCTCTGACTTTTTGACAGCCGCTCCGATTCAAGAGCCAACTCCTGCGCCGTTCGGGGGTGCGGGAAGCGGCTGCCACAAGGAGCCATCCCTGCAGTGTGTTCAAGGATGTGGCTGTCGTTCGGGACTTCCTCATCGGTTCGTTTCTCAGAGATGCCAGCATTCACTCGAAAAACAACCAAAAAACGCCGTGAACATAAACTTTTGGCGCTCCGCGCGGAATTCTTGAATCCGCGTTGGGCCCCCCCGGCGGCGCCTCCGGCGCCGCCCTTGGCGCGATCCGCACGCCAGGGAGGGGGGTCCAGCTTAGACCCAAGAAACTAACCCGCGCGGAGCGCCAAAAGTCCATGGTCATGTCGTTTGTTTGTTCTCCTATTGGCGACGTTTGCGCTTAATGCTCGAGCAGCCACGCCTCATGTTCAGACGGTGCCTCCTGACTCTTTGGGGCAAGGGCGTATTGATGCTGATGCTGATGATGCTGATGATGCTGATATTGATGATGATCATGATCATGATCATGATCATGTCGATGCTGATGCTGCTGATGATGATGCTGATGATGATGCTGATGATACTGATGCTGATGCTGGTGGTGATGATGATGATGATGATGATGATGATGATGATGATGATGATGATGCTCGTGATGATGATGATTATGATGCTGATGATGATGATGGTGAGGAGGAGCAGGAGCAGGATCTGCTGAACCTATGCAGATCCTGCGCGGGACTTCTTCGCGCCTCGCCCGGACGTCTCGGCGTTTGTGTTGCGGTCGCGTGCTCGAGAACATCTACGGGCCGCAGCTCGTGCGCAGAGGTGCGCCCTCTACCCCCCGCGTACGGGCGGACCGAGGGAGCAGCTCCCGCCAAGAGGCCCTCGTGATTTACTCCGGATTCCGGCTGCGTGGTACCTCCTGACCTTTGATCTGGTCATTTTGAGGGGCAGGCGTAGCATCTCAGAGGATTTGAAGAAAGGGTGCCCATACCAGCTACCCTTCCCCCGCCTTCCGTTTTTTGTGACTCCCAGGAGGCCCTCGTCGGGACCTTTGGATTCGCCTCGAGATCCTGGTCAGAACGCACCCCAGGAGAGGTCCGGGGAGTAGCGGTATCGGTACCTTGTGGTTTCCCCAAAGTCTGAGGCAGGCCTAGAGTCGGCGGCGAGCACGGGGGGAAGTGAGAAGGAGAAAGCCTTCTCAGCAGGCGGCGAGGTTTCTCAGAAGGACTTCGGTGTCTCCCGGGAAGGCTTAGAAGATCGCTCAGAAGGCTGGGGGACTTCTGGGCCTTCTGAGGAGGCCCACCCCTTCTCGCTTCCCCCCGCCAGGCTGGCCGCCGACAGGATGACAAGGAGCATGTCCAGAGCGCCGTGGAGCGCTCTCGCAAGCCCTCCAGAGCTTTTTCTGGAACGCTCGCGGCGCCCGACGCATCCTCCGGACTCGCCAGCTCTCGCGGATTCCCGATTTATCTTCGCCCGATGTCTTCTTCACCTTGCCTTCGTCCTATGTGTAAGTCGGGCCAGTCCCTCTACAAGAGGAATCTTCAGAAATAGTGTTTAAACAAGTGTTGGGACTATGTTTAATGTATTGTTTTGTTAGTAGGGGAGAATTTTACTCGTATGTTTAAGTTTTCGTCGAAAACCCCCATGTGGGGGGACATGCCCGACTTACTCCCATGTGATTTCCACCTCGGCCGCTTGGATTCGGGCGCTGACGCCGAACCAGTGCGGACGAGCGGGCGTAGCGAGGTCGGGCATCTCGCCGAGCGCGCTCCCAGCCCGAGGTGTCCCCGGGACCTCCCCCTACTCCTCCTCCTCCCACTCCTCCTCCTCCTCCTCCTCCTCCTCCTCCTCCTCCTCCTCCTCCTCCTCCTCCTCCTCCTCCTCCTCCTCCTCCTCCTCCCTCCTCCTCCCCTCTCACTCCTCCTCCTCCTCCCTCTCCCCCTCCTCCTCCTCCTCCGCCTCCTCCTCGCCCTCCTCCTCCTCCCTCCGCCTCCTCCTCTCCCTCCTCCACCTCGCGTCGTCGTCGATCTCCAGAAAGGCCCTGCTGGCCTCCAGGAGGGCACCGCGCTCCTCGCGAGGCCCAGCGGGCTCTCAACCCGCGAATTTGTCGAAGATTACGAGGATCAATAGCAGCTGAAAGACTCGCCGAAGGTATTTTTTCGGGTTTTGTACGAAGTCAGTTCCGCCAAGTGTTTTGATAGTAATACCGCAGGTGCCGACCTTAGAATTTCACTGGCAGACGCAGCATTGGCGCGAGGAACCGCGGGGATCCTGGACCAGGAGCACTCTTTGCAGCCACGACGAGCGGGAGAGCCCGGGGGGCGGCCCCCCCTCTTCGGAGCTTAAGTGACGGGGGTCGACGCGAACGGGGGTCAGCCAGGGCACCGAATCCTGCAGGGTCCTGCGAGGACCCTCTTTGGCTGAACCGGATTAGCGAGCAGCTCGTGGCCGCGAGGCGGCCGCGCATATTGGCTGACCCGGGTTTGCGAAGCCCTGCGTCACATTTGTTTTTCCTGCTCACCCGGGTCTGCTTGACCCGGGTTAGCAGGTCCCCGACCTTTGCCAGGATTCTTCACCTTTTCGAATGTGGCTCGGCGACGTCTTCTGTGCGAGGGTGTTGTACACGCAGGTATTGTTGTTACAGCCTCGGGTGTTCAAGATCCTCATTTGTTTTTGTTACCCTCTGGTTTTGTTTTCGTCGCTCCCACCTCCGATTCACGTTGATCTCTCGCCCCCTCTCTCAAGGATCCAGACAAGCATGGCGACGACAGCACGTTCAAGAATGCCTTCCAGGAGTCCGTGGAGCGCCGGCGCATCAAGCGCAGCGCCACTCCCAACGTCGGATCGGGCTCGTGCGAGGCTCGGGCAGCACACGCACGAGACCGAAAGGGAAGGACGAAGCTGAGGGGAACGAGAAAAGAGGATAAGGAGGAGGAGGCGAGAACGATGCGAGAACGATGCGAGAAACAGGAGGAGGCAGCGAGATGATGAAGATGAGAGGAACATGAAGAGATGAGGAGGAGTAGGAGGAGGAGGAGGCGGGAGCGAAGGACAAAACAGAGGAGGCGCCGGAGAGAGCAGGGCAGCGCACTCAGGAGCAGCCGAAGAGGGGACCGGGGGGGGAGCGCTCGCGCAGCCGCTCCCTACACGCTCA